TGAAGTAGAGTCCTACTCTCACTAACGTTGTGATGACGATATGCAACATTTCGTGCTGCCCTACATCAGCCCCTCTAAAACTGATAATCAGCTAGGTAGGTTTTGTCCTCTGACCAGGGACCAGAGACACGTCCTGCAGCCACAGACCAACACAAAAAGGTCCAACACGTCCTGAACTTAGGCTGTCCACAGATCCAAGTTGTTGTCCATGTCCAAAGGCAGGTCCAGGTTGTAAATTTCTGGCTCTTGCTGTTGGACTTGGTGATGCGTGGAGTAGCTGAGTACAGAAGGCATTGGCGCAACCATGGAGCTCTTTCTCCATCCGGAGGAAAGCTGCTTCTTCTTGCCTCTGTTTGGCCACATGCTGTGAATTCTGGGAACATTTCTTCTTCTGTAGTGGAGGGAGTTGTCTCTGGGTTTAAACTGTCACCCTGTCTGTTGGTCCTCCATGATGATGTGTTGGTTGGGTTCTGTCCAGGTTGGGTTCTCCTCATGCCCCATCAGATAAAACTCTAAGCTGTGGACGAGTGAGACCTCCAGCAGGCCCACGTGCACAGGGTCCACACTGTTCGTCATGGAGCTAGTGAACTGGTCGCTAACATCTTTAGCTGCACGCGTCAGATCAAAAGTAGTTTCACTTTGCAGTGTCCTTTTTTAGAACAGCCGCTCCTTCATAACCAAGTCTGAAGTCATCATATGATGCTCAGGTGAGGATTTCACCCGTGTCTGTCTTTACCTCGAAGATCTGCAGGATCGCTCCAAGACTCAAGACACTTCCAAGTCCTAGATCAGTTTTTTATCAGAAGACTTGACGTTTATCCAGATAAGGCTCCGAGGACAACTCTTTTTAAATGTATCTGCAACAAGCGATGGACACTAAAAGTTTATTAACATATTTTTTCATTCAGCCTTTATTTAGACAGTTAGTCCCATTGAGCCTCGAGGACTCGTTTACAAGAGAGACCTGGTTTAACAAAGAATCATGACAACAATGGACAGTTATAAAAAGTTATACAGGTTTTTAATTTAAATATAATGTAACAATATAATGTTGAACCTGCAGTGAATCGTGTCCTTCCCTCCATGAGCATTCACCGGAGGCAGAGTTTAACTAGACCACTTCCCAGAAGACTTTTAGGACCGACTCATACAGTCTCTGTTTTGTGGGGACAGCTGTGAACAAATACTTTTATTAATTTCTTGCTCTTAATTTCCCACAGGTCAGTTTTTCTCTAAAGGCCTTGGCGAGGTGAGTAAAGATGATGGCGACTGCAGGACCTTCAGGTTCCTCCACCTTCCTGCCTCTGTTGGAGACTCTGGAGGACGGCACAGCAGGACAGTCCGAGCAGATCGATGCCTACCTTACCATCGCCAAGTGAGTCCCCCGGTCCAACACAGGACAAGAGACGACCTCTGCAATATGAGGACAAATGTCTCGTCTTCTTTTTGCCTTCCAGTCGCCTCAGTGGAGAGGAGGGCCGCCAGTTTCTCCCAGCGGTGGAAAAAGATTTTTCTCGGTTCGGTAAAGCCATCATGGTGAGTCCTGGGTTAAACACGCTCGCAGGGGGGGGTCTTTAAAAGGCTCCCGCAACTAGTTGGACCTTATTTCATCATTTATTCAGCTGTACAAAGAAAACCGTCAAAATCCTGGAATCCTGGTCTTCGGACGACTCTTGAAGTCTTGAATGAGCTCTCCGAACGTGCGATCACATCTTCTGTTCTCCACTCTTCACCACCAAGTGTTGCAGCAATCTAAATGGAAACAGTCGCGTGCGGTGAAGGTCTGATTAGTGTCGCCCGCAGCAGAGTTTAGTTTCTTTGTAGAGAAGTGAAGATTTCAGACAAACATTGTTTTTCACCGAGTCAAGAGGAGAAGAGGAGAGTCCAGGCAGGATGGAGGGATGGAGAGAAGTTTCAGGAGGGGTGTCAGCAAAGGTCAAAGTTTACAAGACAGTGGTGAGACCAGCTCTGTTGTATGGTCTGGAGACAGAGACATGGACAAAAAGACAGGAGACAGAACTGGAAGTGTCAGAAATGAAGATGTTGAGGTTCTTCTTAGGAGAGACAAGGATGGAGAAGATCAGGAATAAGATCATCAGAGGTACAGCACAGGTTGAACAACTGGGAGATAAAGTTAGAGAGGACACACTGAGATGGTTTGGACATGTCCAGAGGAGGGACAGTGGTTTGGACATGTCCAGAGGAGGGACAGTGGTAGAAGGATGTTATAAATGCAGCTGCAGGAAAAAGACAGAGGAGATGTATGGATGCAGTTAGAGAGGACATGGAGGGAGTTGGAGTGAGATGGAGGAGGAGGACTCACCATGGAGACCCCGAAGAACAAGATCTGATGTTCAGCCCTTTAATTAGAAGCAGAGCGCTTTGACAGAGGAGAATCCAGAGATGACTTAATGTCTCCTTTTAGCTCTGGTGCTAACGGTGTTAGCTCTGGTGCTAACGGCGTTAGCTCTGGTGCTAACGGCGTTAGCTCTGGTGCTAACGGCGTTAGCACCAGAGCTAATGGTGTTAGCTCCTGGGATGATAAAATAAACATCACAAATTGTTTATAAGGACTAATCTGAATATAACTTTAGTGTCGCGTGTTGTAGCTTTTGATTTGTGTTTTTGTCTCCACTTCAAGTGAAGTCCGTCATGGCTCCAGAACGCACTGTGCACGTACGATGATGAGGATGAGGATGATGATGTCTTTAGGTCAAATGTGTAACAAATGTTTATCATTTTAAGTCAAGTCAACTTTATTTATAGAGCACATTTAACAACAACAATCAATGGGAGTAAAATTAAAGAGGAAAAAAACAATAACTAATAATAATAACTGAAGAATTAATAAAAATCATTTAAAACATGATCACAGAACAAAAACACAATCAATTTACACTGAGTGAAATTCTGCCAAAGTGTTTGTTTGTTTTCATGTGTCAAACAACAACTTTTAGTAGAATAAATAACGTATGACTATATAACGTATGACTATATAACGTATGACTATATAACGTATGACTATATAACGTATGACTATATAACGTATGACTATATAACGTATGACTA